TGGGCCAAGCAGTGTTTAAAAGAATATAGTTTGTGTGTTGTTATTTCTGGTGTAAAGCTAGCCGTGCGGGAGCCAGGCGGGACAAAAAGCAGGCCCGCAGCCCCTACAACACACACACACTAGTACACTCACACAGCATGCCACACACACGAGTACACTCACACGGCATGCCACGCACATACCACACGCACGAGTACTCACATGGCATGCCACGCACATACCACACGCACGAGTACTCACATGGCATGCCACATACATAGCACACACACAAGTACACTCACGGCATGCCACGCACATACCACACACACAAAGATACTCACACGGCATGCCATGCATACCACACACACAAGTATATCACACAGCACGCCACACACATAAAACACGCACAAGTATACTCACACGGCATGCCACACACATAAAACACGCATAAGTACACTCACACGGCATGTCACACACATAAAACACGCACAGCATGCCACACACATAACATAACACACACATAACATGCCACGCACATAGCACACACACAAGTATACTCACACGGCATGCCACACACATAGCACACACACAAGTACACTCACACGGCATGCCACGCACATAGCACACACACAAGTACATTCACGCGGCATGCCACACACATAAAACACACACAAGTATACTCACACAGCATGCCACACACATAGCACACACAGCATGTCACACACATAGCACACACATAACATGCCATGCACATACCACACAAGTACACTCACACGGCATGCCACGCACATAACACACACACGAGTACACTCACGGCATGCCACGCACAAGTATACTCACACAGCAGGCCACACACATAAAACACGCACAAGCATACTCACCTGGCATGCCACGCACATACCACACACACAAGTATACTCAGACAGCATTGATGCGCGATGTCCTTCTGGTATATTTTATTGGTTAATGAGTGAAGCTGTTTAGGCCAATGGATTAGTAGAGTAAAGCCAGGCAGGAAATGCAAACAGAAAAAAAAGACAGAGTGGGTGGAGTCAAGGAGACGCCATGTAGCTGCCCAAGGACCTCCAAGTGGAACCTCTATGGTACGCTACAGCCTCATTAAAAAAATGGGTGAATTTAAGATATAAGTTATCCAAAAATATGCTTGAGCCATTGATCAAACACTGTTGTCATTTGATATGAGATTTCCCTCTGTATGTGATGGTTATCACTGATTATTAAAGAAACAGTTTTGGGCCTACACAGGAATAGAGGTAGGCAGGGAAAACTAAACTGAATGCTGGGAGAAAGAAGGACGGAGTCAGGGAGAATTCATGTAGCTCCACCAGAGACAGAAGCCAGAACTTACCTGGTAAGCCACAGCCTCATGGTGTGTATCACCTCATGGTGATACACAGATTAATGGAGATGGGTTAGGTTAGGATATAAGAGTTAGCCTGAAATATGCTTAATCTATTGGTCAAACAGTATTGCAAATAATATGGTTTCTGTTTGATTATTTCATGGGCTGAGCTGCTGAAACAGCCAGGAAACAAACAAGTGACCTTACAACAAACTGGCATGACAATGTGGCCAACTAAATCCATGTAAAACCTGAGAAAGCTTGGAAAGGAATTTGAGACACGGAAAAACAAAGTTTAGCAGCTCCCTTAAGACAGGTTTTCCTGGTTCAGCATTATCAGAAAAAAAAACTGTGGTTTTGAAATGTTGGTTTTCCGGGCCATACTGCCAGTGTGAGCTCTGGCTCTCTCAGAGCCAAGCATTTAAATGGGGATTCTGGGCAGCGTGCAGCATGGGCCAACTAGTTATCACGTGAAGATGGTGAGGACAGATCCTACCCTGCAGTCTTAGAGGCAGTGAACAGTCTTCCACCATGTTGGACTGGGTGGAGCAAGCAGGAAGTGCCATATTTACCCTAGCAATGGCGTGGCTAAAGTTAATAAGATGAGCTTATTAGCATTTTAAGAAATGTTCCTGGACAATAAATAATTATAGATACACAATAGGACAGATTCAGACTTAAAAGAACTCTAAACAAGTAACAGTATGTTTTTAAAAATGTACATAGGCTTGCAAGAGAGAAAAAAATTATAGAGAGTTATAAAAAGAAGTAAAATGATTTTTTAAAAATAAAACTAAGTCTTTAAAGAGACAGAGTACAGACAGTCATAGAGTAAATAAGTAAAGATAATAAATATTAAAAAGTAAAGTAAGAAAAGCCACGTAGGGGGCTGGAAAGATGGTTCAGTGGTTAAGAGCATTGCCTGCTCTTCCAAAAGTCCTGAGTTCAATTCCCAGCAACCACATGGTGGCTCACAGATATCTGTAATGAGGTCTGGTGCCCTCTTCTGGCCTGCAGGCATACACACAAACAGAATATTGTATACATAAGTAAATAAATAAATATAAATAAAAGAAAAGCCGCATAAAGATGGAATATACAAAGAGAGTCTGGATTATGTATATTATTGTTTTCTTTGAATTTTTTGACTACAGATTCTGGGGACTGCTAAGCTAAGCCAACATATGTTTTAAAGGTCTCTTGACTTCAAAGTTTGAGTCTATGTTGCTTTGGAAAAGAGGTTCTTCTTTTGTTACCAGAGGATGAAAAACTGAGAATTGCTCCAGACTAATATGGTTTGATGGACCAAGAGGCCCTGAAAAGCCACCATGAACACCCCTCAAAAAATTACTTTGCCCAACAAAACACAGGAAGCAGTTTGGAGAGAACTATGCCCAAATTCCCAAATATTGTTTGTAAGTGTTTCTTTACATTTAAAGGAGGATACACTATAAAATGGGTACTTTGCATTGGTATGAATTTTGCTTTATTGATACAAAATTAAGGTCAACTTTGTTATCCTGTGTATATGTATTTCTGATCTTGATTAAGGTATTGTGTGTACAGCTCATTTAAAAATGTAATGTATAATTAAGAAATATAGGTTATTAGATAATCATCCTTAATAGTCAAACTTGTAGTCATGTTAGGTTTTCTAGATATTAGATTCGATAGCTGTTCTTCAAACCTTTCAAAGACCTACAGAATATGGCATTTAAATGTTTTAAGAAGATAGGACTTTTCATGACAGTGAGACACATCTGCTCCTGGTAGCACCAACTGAGGCTCCTCATGGAGTTTGTTAGCCATTTGGGCAAGAAACTGCTCTTGCCTGGACTGCTTGATGGTATGCTGTGTGAACTCAACAAGCAGGGTCTACGGAGAAATGACTGCTGAACTTGCCTAAAGGCAAGACCATCCTTCATGGTTCCTGCTTCATGATAGAGTCTGCAAGACATTCTGCAGGACACAGAAGAAAGTGACTGACAAATTGCCAATATAGGTGGAACTTTCTTTAAAATTTCCTGCTTCATGGAAAAGTCTGCTGGATACTATGGGTCTATAGGCTGAAGATGGATGCTCCAATGGTACAGAAGAACTCTGGGTGACTGTCCATGCAGCAAGATGTCTCTGTCAATTCTAGACTTCTGGAATTAGCTTACAATGCACTTCCTGTTTACTTAGGTAATATTATATCCTTCTGGAGTCCATGATGGCATTGAAGAATTTATATAGTTTTTCTTAGTTATGATAAAAGATAAAGTAGATATAAATATTGTAACTGTAATTATTGTTTGATACCTGCTTTGTTATATAATTTTACTATGTTAAAATGAAAAACCTTCCTTTTTATTTAAACAGAAAAGGGGATGTGATATGGGATTTCCCTCTGTATGCTGTGATTATCATTGATTAGTAAAGAAACTGTCTTGGGCCTGCACAGGGAATAGAGTTAGGTGGGAAAAACTGTACTATCTGTACTACTACAAGTACTATGGTCCTGTAGCACCTGTACTATGTGTACTACGGTACTATGTAGCCTGTACTTTGGAACAGTTTGTGAGCCATGCAAGGGGCTAGAGATTGAAACACACACAGACAGACACACACAGAGACATGGGTCATCCTTGAGACAAGAATGCCAACTTGAATCAAGAACACCGCCTTATTGTGTTCCAGGGCAGCTTATATAGCATCTCCTTGACTAATGGCCACACCCTAACTCTCAGCTGCAACCCTACTAGAAACCACTCCCCTGTCTTGTGCTCAAAGCAGCGGCAAGCACAGGAAAACAAGTTGTTTTGTTCAGAGAAGTTACAAGCATAACAAGCTGTTTACAGAAAATTCAGGATCTGGGGGTCCACAATCCCCAACAGAAAACTAAACTGAATGTTGGGAGAAAGAAGGGAAGAGTCACTTCTGGACCAGTAATAGCCAGAGTGAACTGAAATGGAAGACGCCAGGAGACAGACCTCAGCAGGCTAACACCAGGAGACAGACCTCAGCAGGCTGACACCAGGAGACAGACCACAGCGGGCTGACACAGGAGACAGACCACAGCGGGCTGACACAGGAGACAGACCTCAGCGGGCTGACACAGGAGACAGACCACAGCGGGCTGACACAGGAGACAGACCTCAGCGGGCTGCCTGCCTGTCCAGCCTCCCACTCCTCAGTTCATCACTTCCATGCTGCCCCTTCCCCACTGACGCAGGCAGGGAAGGGATGACGAATGTTGACACAGACAGCGCATGTCTGTCCTCAGTTACCCAGCACCTAGAACCCTCCTCTGCTCAGGACAGACATACTTCCCAGGGAGCAGCTGCCATTCTATCCCATGAGAGCTCTTGAAAGTTCTCTACGTATAAGGAAAGCAGAGGGAGAAACATTAAATGTTTATTAGAAACCATCCGAAGACTGCAAAGGGTGTCATATAAGTCTATTTAGTCCAACCTCAGCAAAAACGAGGAAAGGACGCCCTCCACAGGAGGGATCACAGGCTCCCCGTGATGTCGGGGAAGGGGGATCATAAACTGCTCACAATCTCAGCAGAGGCCTGGAGAATCCTCAGCTCCTCCACCCACAAGGCTTCCACCAAAGCGAGTTGATTTACCAGCAGCATGTTTCCTTCCTTCATGTCAGAGACCTGGAAGTAATTTTTAACTTTTTATTATACTAGAAATGCATTATAAAATTTACGGTTTTAACTGCCTTGAAGCAGACAGTCAATGGCCTTAAGTCGCCCAGATCACTTGAGGAAGCCAGCTCCCTCCCCAGAGCCCTGGGTTCCCTGGCCTGGGAACCCTGTAAGTGGACAGGCCTTGTCCTTTTGTGCTTTTCTTCTCATTTAGCATTAAAAAAATGCACAAACTTCTGAGTTTTAACAGTCAGATTTCTTATAAACTGATTTCTCATTAAAACAAAAAATTATGACGTTAAAGAAGGATATTTGAAACACTATCATTAAGAAATCAGGCAATGATAAAACATGAGACAACATTTAAGACTTGACCTAAGTGCCTAATGATGAATGGATAAAGAAAATGTTGCTATACTTCACAGAAGTATAGTCTTAAATGGGAATGAGGGCAGTGACAGGGCTCGGGTTTAGACGGTGTGTATAGCAGGTGTGAGGACCTGGGTCCCATCCCCAATATCCCAAAAAAAGGGGGGGGGAGAAGAGGAGCCCTTATTTGTGACCACAAGAAAGAGCCTGGAGAACACTGGGGTAATGAAGTAAGTCTTCAGGTTCTTATGTCTATAAAGAACGGTGACCACCACGTAAATGGCGGTGAGACTGGTGACGTCAGTCAAGAAACACAGAGTTTACCTAGACAAAAGGAACAGACCGCAGAGTTCCCTGTACAACACGTGACCTCAGTTAGGAACAAGATGCGTACTGCATGTTGAGAAACAGATTCCAAGAGCTGTATGTAGTCTGGAAAACGCTGCTCAGCAGTTTGACTGGGCAATTCCACATGGTGAGCATACACCAAAGCACCATCATGTATAACACACAGCATGTGAACCTTCCAGACCGGCCCCTGCATCACACACTGCATGTAAACCTTCCAGTCCGGCCCCTGCATCACACACTGCATGTAAACCTTCCAGACTGGCCCCTGCATCACACACTGCATGTAAACCTTCCAGTCCGGCCCCTCATCACACACTGCATGTAAACCTTCCAGACTGGCCCCTGCATCACACACTGCACCTTCCAGACTGGCCTGTACATCACACACTGCATGTAAACCTTCCAGACTGGCCTGTACATCACACACTGCATGTAAACCTTCCAGTCCGGCCCCTGCATCACACACTGCATGTAAACCTTCCAGACTGGCCCCTGCATCACACAC